TACATTCTTGAATTATTCAATATTTTTTAAAGCAAATGAAAACTCATTTATTTATATATGTATTTTATGTATTCTATTTTATTAGGATTTAATTGGAGTATTAGATGGGACTCAAATAGAAGCGATTATATCAGGTGTAACTAGGGATGGATTCGGTTCGGGCCACCCGGCCCGTGACCCGGCCCGGCCCGGTACTGTGCGGGCCCGGGACCGGTCCGGTCGGGCGGTCCGGGACCGGGTATGGACCCGAACCGGTGGGAAGGGGCGGGGCGGGCTCGGTGCTGGATTATTGTGACCCGGCCCGGCCGGGTCGGGCCTGAGCCCGGGTCCGGTCTGATTTAAAAAAAAAATTGGTTTGGGCTACTAGCCGTTGGGGGTGGGGGTGGGGACAACCCAAACGGCTATATAGCCGTTGGGTGGGGTAAAGGGGGGGTCCGGGGGGGTTGGCTGGTGGGGGGGGGTGGTGGGGGGGTGGGGGTAAAAAAACCTATAAATACTCCTAATCTTAAATATTTTTTCATATCTCTTCTCCAATTCTTCCAAAATCCTATTCTTAACTCTCTACTCTCTAATTCTCTTATTCTCCAATATATTATATTTATTATTTATATATCTACTTTATAGTTAATACTTAAGAAGTTGAGATGGAAAATCAAGATGCCATTATACGGTATAATTTTGATAAGCAGAAGGACCCGAAGACCGGGATGTGGTACGCAATTTGCAAATGGTGCGAGAAAAAATGTAGCATGAGGGTTTCTGGCGGATTCGGAATGGCAATCAAGCATATGAAGTCATGTGACAAAGCCAAAGGATCGGGAGGTGCGGGAAGTTCCGATTGATTACAATTTTCAAAATGTTTATCTGTTAAAGTTTGTTTTAATTTTCAAATGTAGTTCCTATTTCATTTCAAATAAATGCAATTGAAGTTTGTTTTTAATACTCGTATAAAACTATAAACTATAAAATATAAATTATAAAAAAAAATTAACCGGCCCGGCCCGAACCGGACCCGACCCGTGACCCGGGCGGGTGGCCCGGCCCGGACCGGACCCGTCCAACCCTCGGGCCGGTCCCGGGCCCATGTCATACTACCCGGCGGCCCGACCCGGCTCGAGTCCATCAATAGGTGTAACGGGTATGCAAAACTTGAAATGTCTGAGCAAGTTGATCATTTGACAAACTATTCACATTTGTCAATATTGAATGGGAAGGAAGTGTTCACGACGTAAAAGTGTGAGTTGATTCCTTGGTGCAATCAAAATATCATTTTCCACACACCCCACCAGATATAAAACAAAATAAGTTTATTATTAAGTGATTTTAAATAGAAAAAAGTATATATCCTTTTAACAAAATCAATTTTAATTGTAGGTAAATATTACTTGGTAGATTCGGGCCATCCAAACACACTTGAATATTTAGCTCCATTTGATGGTGCAGGAATGAGGAAACACGTGCCAGGATTTCGTAATGGTGGTAAACCAAATGCAATTGTGTAACATTTTAATTATCATCAATCATCATTGAGAATTACAATTGAAAGAGCATTTTCACATTTCAAGAAAAGGTGGAAGATACATCACAACATGCCCAAAATGAAAGAAGAGTATCAACAAGATGTATAATGTTTTTGTACAATTGTACATATACTTTTTATACTTTTATAAAAATATTTTTAACAAATAACATTTTCATATCATTTTTAGATTATAAATAATTTCTAATAAAAATATATAGAAGGTCAAAGTTTAATTTCATTAACCAAAAGATTCAAGTATGGTACAGTTTTAAGAGACGGAGGAGGAAAAATCGTGTTGAAATAATAATGAAGTTGGGTCGTGTTGTCGGTGTAGTGTAGTATCTTAATTATTTTATACCGCTACGTACTATATATATGTGCATACCCTGAGCTCCGATGTCTGGGTCCGCCACTGCATGTTGGGATTGAATTTTGCCAATTTTCATAGTTTAAATGAGTTACAAAGCGCCTAACTAACTCGAGTCATCATTTACCGGGTTTCGGTTTGCATCTGGTAGTTTTAGAGTAAAAAACAAGAAATTAAGTCTGGAACTGGCGTTAGAGAATTATTCGAGATGAGTTGAGACGCATTTGAGAGTTGTTGAGAAGCATTGAATGTTCACGAAGCATTAAATACGTAATCTTGAAGTCAAAGGAGCTCAATGATCGACTAATAATGATGATGATGATGATGATGATGATGATGATGATGATGATGATGATGATGATGATGATGATGATGATGATGATGATGATGATGATAATAATAATAATAATAATAATAATGTAACATCATCATTCTAGAAAATTAATAGTGATACCTCTTACGTAGTAGTAAGAATTATATTTTACAATCAAAATCAAAATTACACAAATGGGAAAAATCAAGTTTACAAAATTGTTCATCAAATAAATACTACCTTCGTCCCTCTAAAATTAGGATATCAGGAGATGACACAGTTATTAAGAAAAGTGAATTTATATGTTTGATATTGAATTAATAAAGTAAAAATAGGGTAAGAATTTGGTATGAGCAATCTTAATGGGACGGATCAAAAATGAAAAATGATACAATATTAACAGGAAAGATGAAATATATATCATGGAGTATTATACTTTATCCCGTTTTTGCAAAACATTGATGCGTAATATTAGAAAATTCTACCTATAAAAATTTGAATCAAGACTATAATACTCCGTATAAAACATTTCTGGAAAAAAAGTATTAGAGTACTTATATAGTATGTGAAATATTATACGGAGTAGAGTGTAGTGAATTTCGTATTAATAATTTACTATTCGTGTGTCAATAATTCTTAGATTCAATTTTATGTATCATATATATTCCATTCAGTTTAATCTTTTAGATAAATTAAAGAGAGAATTTTCCAAATGGGACTAAAACTTTGTTAAAACTCCAAAGTAGGACATTAAGTTTTTTATTACCTAAATAGGACTTTTAATTAACGATCGGACAAAATTGCCCTTAATGAATTTAGCGCATGAATAGACTTCCGACTACTCTGTTGCGGTGCCCTGCACCGATAACTTCATATTGCCGGCACCACCACCCTCTGCGCAAGGCTTCAGTGCACAGACTTGAACGCCGTAGCAGCCTGGCATGAGTTGCAAGATAAGATCGCCATTGTATATCTCTTGTAAGATGGATTCCAGATTCGAACATACTCCCCTTCTGTTCTCTGCCTCTCTTTCCTTTTCTCTCTTCCTCTTCACATTCGAACATTATCTCCCAGATTCCTCTTCCTCATATGATTTCTTGTTCTTCTTACTCTGTTTTGTAAAAAAATGCCACCTTTGTTCCCAAAATGTCATGGAGATGACATTTCCATATATAAAAATTTGGCAGTCGTGGAGAATGTCAAGTTGGTGTCATTTTTACTCTTTATAAATGTCAAATAAAAACTGTCATCTTGGTAAATGTAATGTCAAAAAGTGACATTTTTTCCAAATGAGTGTTCAATAAAATAATGTTAAAATAATGTTGGCATTTTGGAATAGAAAGATGACATTTACAAAAGGAGAAGAAGAAGAGCAAGAAGAAGAAGAACAAGAAGGAGAAGGAGATGGAGGAGAAGAAGAAAGAAGAAGAAGAAGAAGAAGAAGAAGAAGAAGAAGAAGAAGAAGAAGAAGAAGAAGAAGAAGAAGAAGAAGAAGAAGAAGAAGAAGAAGAAGAAGAAGAAGAAGAAGAAGAAGAAGAAGAAGAAGAAGAAGAAGAAGGAGGAGAAGAATACCTGATTTTGATGGAGATGGCGTCCGGCGTCGAGCAGGCAGCTGCGATGATAGGCCAGCGTCGAGTTGCGAACTTGCGATCGATGGAGGTTGAGCTGCGATCGAGTTGCGAACAGTTGAGCTGCGAACGGTTGAGCTGCGATCGAGCGATGCAGAGGGATTTGGGGAAAATGTGATTTAGGGATTAGGGGCAAAAAGGTAATGTGGAGTCCCATTTAGGAAATTTAAAACTTGAAGTCGTATTGTGAAGTTTTAACCATGTTTTAGTCTCATTTAATATAATTTCTTTAAATTAAACTGAAGCACAGTGTTCAATTCGAGTGACCAACTTAGCTACGTCTACTTGTTTGAGTTTGTTATTTTTCAGCTTTATTTAATTCTTACAAATGTAATTAGATTTGAAAGCTTAAGAATTTATTAGTTATTAATAATAGTCACTAAATTGTGTTTTATACCAATCAACTTCTTATGCAATAATAAAATACTTAGAAAATCTATTTACAAAATCTCTTTAATTTTTTAAGAACGTTATTCACATATTATCCATCTAATTTAAAATACATTTTTAAAGTTTGTGAAATAACGTTAAATTTTGGTACCTTATTTTCATTTTCTAATCTAATCATCATAATTAAATCTTGAATGAGAGGAGTTTTTACCATGTAACTTCAATTTAATATATAATTTTCCCCAAATTAAGTTCTCACTTTATTTTTTGGATGTTCCAAAATTAAGTTCTCACTTCAACCACTTTTTTTATTTGATAAGTTCTTATTACTCCAAGAAGAAAACTTTTATTATCCCTAAAAGAAATTCCAACTTTTTCTTTTCCTCCGTCCCAAAAAACTTTACATTCTTTTTTAGCAAAAAAATTATGATTCACTGCAATTCTTATACATTATTACACATTTCTCTTTCCTCTGCATAACTTTTCATCACACAATATCCACTTTCTTAATATCATTACACAATATCATTACACAATTCTTATACATTATTACACATTTGTACTATGAAAAACTTTAAAAGACGTAGGAGGTATTCATAAACCAATTTACCCTTCACATCACTTCGTTGAATTGACATGTGCTACTAACATTTCGCTATTCATTACCTCTTTTGTTATACTACACCTTTTAATTAGGCAACGACATTTTTAGAAAGTCAACTTTATTTTCTATTGAGAGTCACTTTATTAAATAAAAATAAATAGAAACATCTAAATTAGCCTTACTAAAAACTAAAAAGCCAACACCGGAGGGCGGAAGCGTGAAGAAGACTAGATGCTTTCACACTCCACCACCACCCCCCGCCCAAGCCTTAATTCTTGCATCCTCTCTACTCGTGTAGACAGGAACAATCACCGAATTTAACACCGGCCACAACCCTACCAGACAGAAGGTAAATAAGGATACAATAGGGACCGATTCCCATGAGTAGGGATGCGATTATGAAAGTTTCAGCTGCCTATCAAACCTAGATTGCAGGGACAATTCGGTCGATTCTGAACTTTCCGGCGGTGGTGAATGCCGACCGGCGTGACTGCGTGAGGGGCAGCAGGGCCTTTAGTGGACTCATCTTCTCCACCGTCTTCTTCGATAGAATTAATTATCCATCGTGTTGGCTTGCCTTCTATAAATTTAATTTCCACCATGTTGCTTGTTGTTAATATATTGTTGGCCCAAACTTTTTTTGTACACTATACACATTTATCTATCTGGCCTGTCAATATTTGTCTCTCCCGTTAGAATTTGAATTCAGCTCATTATTGAGCTAGTGATGAGTTGTGTGTGCAGTGTATTATTTGAGTGTCAAGTCCCTTCTAATAAAGTCAAATTCTTCCATGTTATATACCCTGGCTGCACCCTTGTTTGTTCAGTGCCTGAAACACACACCAAAGACTGGCTGAGTGAGAGTTCTTGAGAGGTCCCCTTCTCCTTCTTGGCGAGGTTGAGAGTGTAAGTGTTAGCTCCCTTAGCCTAGATGTGCACAAGAAGACAACCGAAAAACCGAGCTCCGGATTGCCTGAGCCGGAATAAGTCAACAGAATCGATTTTGCCGGATTCCGCCATCTGGAACGCTCTGCCGCCGTACGCCGCCGTACGCCGCCCAATGCCAGGTTGGAGCTCGCCGCAGGTCCCTGAAGTTGCCTGGTCGTTCGCACGAGCTCACTGGTCTTCCACCGTGGTCCCTGCTTGTTGAAATCGAGCTCACCGGAAGCTGAAGCCTCCACCCCTGGAAGTTCAGACGTCTCCTGGAAGCTCGCCGCCGCAGGGAGTTGCATGCCGATTTGTTCGTCGCTGGAGCAGCCTACCGTCGTCATTGCAGGCTACCGTTGCTGCGAAGCTGGATCTGGTTGTTGGCGTGGACCGGCGCAAATCGCTAGACGTTGCCAAACTCGTCGGAAGTTGAAGCCCCGCCATTGCTCTCCGGAATTTGAGGCTAGAGCCGCGGGTCATCAATTGCGAAGGTCACCTGCAATTTTTGTGGTTCGCAGAAAGGCTGTAGCCGCAGGGACGAAGAGTACTGCTTCCCTGTTTCTTGCTGAAGAAGAAGACTTGACCTGCGCAAATAGCTGGATCGAAGCTTGACATACGAGCTGGGCTGGACCTGGAGGCTTGATACACCTTGACGGGTTGCTGGAACTGGGCTATTGGGTGGCTTGGCTGCTCAATTGCTGGAGTTGGCAGGAAGCTTTGGACTGGACCTACAAGCAGGAGCCGGACCTGGAGCTCCTGGATCTGCTGGAAGAGCTGCTGGACCAGGAGAGCATCTGGACCTGGACTGGTGTTTTTTGGTGTGCTAGAGCTGCTGGGTTGCTGTTGGACTACTGGGCTGAAGCTGCTGTTGGGCTGCTGGAGCAGCTAGACCGCCGGTCAACGCCGGTCAACTGCTGGTCAACGCAGGTCAAAGTCAGTCAACAGTCTGAAAATCCCAAATTTTTTAAAATTTGGGTAGGTAAGGTCGAAACCCTCTCCTAGGGTTTCGCTAAGGTAAATTGGGGATAAACACCCTAGGTGCACCGGGTGCCTTCGGATTTAATTTATTCCCCCTCCCCGCGGGCCGCCGATAGATTGTATCTCGGCCGCCAACCCCCCAGGTGCGTTTGCTAAACCCTCTCCTTTGTGACAGACTATTTGAGTTGATTAAATTGAATTGCTAAGTGTTGTTAATTTCAATTCTTGTGCGTAGGGGTGGTTTATTGTGTAGAAATCATGTTTTAGGTTTATTACTGCTTTTTAAATTGATTGAATTATTGTGTTGTTTGTGCTGAAAATTTATTATTTATTTGTGCTTATACGGAAGAACAAGGGGTTTGAAATTTGAGTTTGGTGCTCATTAATACTCCCCGTGTGTTCGTGCTAGTTGCTTCGTATATTTGTAGCCTAATAAATATTTAAATTGTTTTTCAGCAAAATTCACATTTTCTTTTGTTGTTTGTTTTTCTTTGTGAAAATGTCTGCTTATAATCAGTATGGTATGGCTCCATTTAATGGAAAATCTGATTTTAGCATTTGGAAGGAAAAAATTAAATGTATTTTAATCCAACAAAAATGTTTTAAAGCAGTTTGCGAAACTTATTTGATTTCTGACACAGAAGATAAAAGGGCTGAAATGAATGAAAATGTTTGTTCTGTGATTTATTTGAACTTATCTGATTCTGTGATTAGAAAAGTTGGAATTTTAGAGAGTGCTAAAATTCTGTGGAATAAATTAGATGAACTGTATACTGAAACCTCTCTGCCTAGCCGGATGTTTTTACTTGAGAAGTTCTTCCAATTTAGACTAGATATGTCTAAGGATATTGAGGAAAATCTAGATGTCTTTACCAAACTTATTTCTGATATTAAGTTGTGTGGTGATAAGCATCTAGATTATTATTCCCCTATTGCTCTTTTAAATGCTATTCCTGATTCCTTTGGTGATGTGAAATCTGCTATTAAGCATGGTAGAGATAATGTGACTCTTGACATTGTGGTTAATGGTCTTAAGAGAAAGGAATTAGATTTAAAACAGATGGGTGAGGGTAGAAAATCCGAGGAGGTTATGCATGTGAGGGGTAGAGAAAATAATAGACGACATAGATCTAAGTCTAGGTCTAATTCGAGACGTTGCTATTATTGTCATGAATCTGGTCATTTCATAAGAGACTGTCCTAAATCTAGGGAAAATAAGCACAGCGAGCATGCTAATTTGACTACTTGTGAAGATAATTTAGGTGATGTTTTTATGATGAAAAATCTATGTGATTATGGCTATTTGAGTTCTGTTATATCTGATTCTTTGGGTAAATCAGATTGGGTGGTAGATTCTGGTTGTGCTTTTCATATGTCCCCTTTGAAAAATGTTTTTTCAAACTATAGAGAGATTGTGCATGGCTTTGTCTTTAGCAAATGAGAAGAAATGCAATGTGCTAGGAATAGGAGATGTATGACTTAGGTTCTCTTCTGGTTGTGTGCTTACTTTGAAGAATGTTAGGTATGTTCCTGAGCTGTGCTGTAATTTGCTATCTTGTGCATCTCTTGAAAATGATGGTTTGAAGGGAAAATGGGGAAAGAGAATCATGAAATTTGTGAAGGGTTGTTTAGTTGTTTTTAAAGCTGAGTTGAAAAATAACTTGTATGTGTGTCATGCTGAACCCGTACTTGATTCTGTGAATTGTGTGCAACCCTGTGTGCTAGGAAAACAGTCTAGAGTTAGTTTTCCTAATCTGCCTAAGTGTGCTGATGTGCTTGATTGTATTCATGCTGATTTGTGGGGTCCTTATAGTGTTTCCACTCATGCTGGGAAAAATTATTTTCTGACGTTGATTGATGATTTTTCAAAAAAGTGTGGGTTTTGTTGATTGAGAATAAATCTGGAAAACTGGAAAACCCTTTTTGAAAATCCGGTAAGAAAATAATGTGTTTAAAGACAAATTTCAGTTTTGATTTTTGTGATGATCAGCTTGGTGATTTATGTGATACTTGGGGTATTTCTATGCATAAATCTGTTCCCTCCACACCCCAATCGGATGGGGTTGCTGAGAGGATGGTTAGAACTCTTTTAGAGAGGGTGAGGACTATGATAGCATCATCTGGGCTCTCTAAAAAGTTTTGGGGGGAAGCTATTTGTTATGCTGCTTATTTGATTAATATGTCCACGTCTGTTCCCTTAGGAGGGAAATGCCCTGAATCTGTGTTCACGGGCGAACCACTTAACTTGCCAAATTTGAGAGTGTTTGCTTGTGCTGCTTATGTGAATCGTGAGAATGATAAATCTGAACCAAGTACTAAGGAATATGTTTTCTTAGGATATCATGAATGCATGAAAGGTTATAGGCTTTGGTGTAGGAGTGAAACTTGCTTCAATGTGTTGATGAGTAGAAATGTCATTTTTGTTGAAAATGAATTTCCTTGCTTACCTGTTTCTCCTGATGTTGCTCCAAATGAGGTGGAGCATTTGCCTGTTGAAGTTCATTCTGATTTACTTGTTGAAACCAATTTCAAATTTGTGAATGAAAATGTTTTTCATGGTGAAAATAAAGAAAATAATATTTCTATTAAGGTGGAGCATGATATGAATGTTGTGAGCAATATGCTTGAGTGGTGTGATTGCCATGTTATTAGAGATAGAGACATTAGGGAGCATGAGAGAGATGATATGTGCAAAGTGTTTGAATATATTTCCTCTGAGTTTGCTTTAAATGTGCTTAATTCTCTTTTAATTAAATTCTTTGTGATGTTTGGTATGTTATTTTCTTTGTGTTTTGAAAATGTGATACCATGTGATTATGTAAGCTCTACCTTTGCTAGTTATAAAATAATATTGTTTCTTTTATTTTTGTTTGTACTTGCCTTATGTGGTTGTTGGATTAGTTGGGATCCCCAACTTCTTCCGGATGCTTGCTTGTGTGGGCTATTAACATACCTTGTGTTTGTTAATAGCATTGTGATGGTTTCGGTTTTGAACTCGAGGACCCTATGGTAGAGTTAAGTCCTTTATGGACTCGGCATGCTTGGTGATCTTACCCCGAGAGTATTTGTGTCTCTCTATTACTTGTATTGTCTTTGTGATTATACTTGTAATGATCCGGCAATGATGAGTCCGCGGTTTCGTGATTGTCTAAGTGCACTACCTTGGACCAAAGGTGGAGATTGTTAATATATTGTTGGCCCAAACGTTTTTTCATTACTAGAAATACAACTTACGGTGACACTTAGTTGGTGACACTATAATGACACAAACACATTTATGACACTTGTATATCAGTAATTATTCATACAATTATATCAAGATATAACAGTGACACTCCAGCAGCCCAATTTATTATTTAGATTTAGGTTTTAAGTAGGAAAAAATGCTCTCTAGAGCGAGACGCTCCGTAATTTCTCTAGCTTTCTACGATCTCCTTTGGACCGCCTGAAGCCAATGCGGCAGAAATGCCGCCGGCGGATGGAATCGGGCCGGAGAGGATGCAGGCCAAGATGTCTTTTGCTGTGGTGGTAAGGGATCCCATCCCGGGCCATGGATTGCACTCGCAAACTTGTTCCTTTTCCGACGCGGCTGAGCTTGGCTCGTATGGTAGCTTCAGAGGCTTCCCGTCTGTCTCCTTCTCCAACGACGACTTACAGGTTCTCTCCCATCCTTTCTGATTCGCTCTCGTTGGTACTTTCCCGTTCGGTCGTCCCCCCATCCCTACGATTCGTAATGCTTTTGAAAAGCCAGGGTTCTGTAACTGGGTTGACCTTGGATGAGATTGCCGCTCAAACATGCGGCGCTGGGAGAAAACGACGTTGGGCCTGGCGAGCTGGGCTTCCGGAAGTAAACCCTAACGGGCTGAACGCCTGGACTGGGCAATTGATGGTGACGCGGGCACAACTCCTGGATGGGCCTTTTGATGCGACTTGGGCCATGCTTCTTTCTGCTGCTAGACTGCTTACACGCAGGAATGCTTTTTTGATGCAGGGAAGGGTCTTCTATTTGTTCATGGACTGCTGGAGTATATTGGACTGGACTTTTTGTGATTTGAGTCGGGACCTGGCCCGTTCCTTTTTGACTTTTTAAAAAAATCCTCTCTCCCCCGCCACGTGAGGGGCGAATACGGTAGATACTATTTTTGGTTAGCTTGCTACCTATATAGTTTTCTCTTTGATTTTTTGATGCATTGTAATGCTATTTTCTAGATATATATATTTACATTTCACTCTAACATTATTCTCATTAATTTCAAGTCCGATCTTGAAGGAACCTCTTAATCATGTTGATTTCCGTGATTTTGTTTTTCCTCATGTTAGTGAGAATGGAGAAAAAAGTGTGGTTGTCTTTGAAGAAGCCCACTCGGCTACCTGTATTGAACCCCCCCATTCGTTGCCTCCGAGAAACCTCTTGTTCAGGCTTGTGAACATGCCTCTTATCAGTCCACTGTCTTGAAAGTTGCTGGTATTGAACCACCCCCTGCTGTTGCCCTGGAAATTGCCTTGACAGATTTTGAAAGTCTCCTTTCTGTTGCTTTTGATGCCACAATGGTATGTGAAGCCCCCATTGATGTTTCAATTGATGCCCCCTGTGTTACTAGTGATGTATCAGATGTTTATAACACCTATATCCCTGCCCCAATTACTTATATGGAAGTCTTAACCCCCCCCCCCCCCCTCATGTTGCCTTTACAGATGCTCCTACGAATATACTGATAACTGAGGTTACAACCGCTATTGATGAACCCCCAGTGGCTACCTGTAACAAGGCAGTAATCGCAGGCGTTGTTCATCCCCTTTTGTCGGTGCCCGCTAATTCTATCTGAGGACAACCATATTGCTACTCTTTCTTTTGCAGGTCCTATTCCTCGTGATGGAGATGAACATCTGGAGGGTTTTACAGAGGTAAAAATCGTACTACGGACTTTGCAGCAGTGATGCTTTTATCTCATAATTCTTGGCTGTACTCTACTCCAATAATATTGTTAAATATGAGTTGATTAGTCACCTTTATTAAATTTGGACTTTTGACCAACTTAACAGTGTTGTAATTTTATGAAATATTTAATCTGTTGATAGTTGGTCACATAGAAACAGTTAAGACTTTAGATTTAAGAATGCATAGTGATGTCCATAGATTATTTATATAACTTAAAATCTCACCCATTTGGGTCTTTCTGCCATTGTCAACAACCTCCTTAAAGATAGTACTCATCAAATTCAGCACTTCTAGCTGAATTTTAATCATATATGTATATATTTTTTCAACCTCTATTTCTACATTCACTGGAATGATCGTAAGATTTGGTTTGGTTGCTCTTATCATGCATTATGGCTGCCAAAGTTTATATTTTTGTAACAACTGGTGTACAAGTTTACTACGCTTTCCATAGTTCTCTTCTGTGCATATATGATACTCTTCAAGGGGAAAAACTACATTTCCATTGGCTATAAATAAAACTATTTTGTACTGTATAGGCTATTTACTCTTTGTACCTGAGCGTGTTTGCCAATTTGTCATCAGGGAATGATGATTGGAAATCTGAGCCTTTTGATTTCCTCATCGGTGGAGCATCAACTAACTAACTAACTAACTAACCATATTAGTTAAACTTGAATTTACTGATTTGAATGAAATTGCTTAAGAGAAACTACTCTCAGCAAGTCTTTATTTATAAGGCAAATAATTACAAGGAAAGAATCATATGCACATCAATCAGTAATTAATTCCTGATTTGATACAATCTGTACAGTAAATACTAAAATCAGGAAGGAAATCATATCAAATCTCAACACTCCCCCTCAAGCTGGTGCGTAGATATCATATGCATCAAGCTTGTCACAAATATATCTTATCCTCGGACCTCGAAGTGACTTAGTGAGAAAATCAGCTAACTGATCATTTGATTTGACAAAGGATGTGAAGATTTCTCCAGAAATGACTTTTTCACGAATAAAATGGCAATCGATTTCTATATGTTTTGTTCGTTCATGAAAAACAGGGTTAGAAGCGATGTATAAAGCTGCCTGATTATCACAGATCAGTTTCATAGGTTTCAGTTTGCAAAACTTTAACTCGGACAATAACTGTTTCAGCCATATAAGTTCGCAAGTAGTGAGAGCCATGGCTCGATACTCTGCTTCGGCACTTGATCTAGCGACAACACTCTGTTTCTTGCTCTTCCAAGAGATTAGGTTTCCACCAATGAGAACACAGTACCCTGAAGTTGATCTCCTGTCATTTGGACAGCCGGCCCAATCCGCATCTGAATATGCAGTAATATTGTCACAACCCCGGTTCGCATAAACCAGTCCTCTTCCAGGTGAACCTTTGATGTATCTTAGGATTCGAACAACTGCATCCCAATGACTATCACATGGCGTATTGAGGAACTGACTCACCACGCTCACGGCAAAGGAGATGTCTGGTCTGGTCATAGTGAGATAATTTAACTTCCCCACAAGTCGTCGATATCTTTCAGGATTAGAGATAGGCTCTCCCTGATCTGGAAAAAGTCGAACATTTGGATCAATTGGAGTATCGATCGGCTTACAATCTGTCATCCCGGTTTCCTTCAAAATATCAAGAGCATATTTTCTTTGAGATATGGCAATGCCTGTTTTGGATTGAGCTACCTCAATTCCAAGAAAGTAACGAAGTCGTCCCAAATCTTTTGTTTGAAATTGCTGGGACAAGTATAGTTTAAGATTCTGTATGCCATCATGATAATCCCCTGTTATTACAATATCATCAACATAAACAACAAGGTAAGTAGATTGATTAGATAAAGATCTTTTATAAAACACGGTGTGGTCTGCTTTGCATTGAATCATCCCAAACTGTTTGAGAGCCGTACTGAATCTGCCAAACCACGCTCGTGGGGACTGTTTAAGACCATACAAGGCCTTATGCAACCGACACACATATCTACACTCCCCCTGAGCAACAAACCCAGGTGGTTGCTCCATGTAAACTTCTTCTTTTAAATTACCATGAAGAAATGCATTTTTTATGTCCAACTGATGTAAGGGCCAGCTGCGCATAGCTGCCATAGATAAGAACAAACGTACAGAAGCCATCTTTGCAACCGGAGAAAAAGTGTCACCATAATCCAAGCCAAACACTTGAGTAAACCCCTTAGCAACCAAACGTGCTTTCAGCCGGTCAACTTGTCCATCAGGACCAACTTTGATTGTAAACACCCATCGGCAACCAACAATAGATTTACCATGGGGCAGGGGAACAAGAGACCAAGTACGATTGATTTCAAGCGCAGCCATCTCATCAAGCATAGCTCGGCGCCATCCTGGGTGGGCAAGAGCTTCCTGGACAGTTTTAGGAATGGAAACAGAAGAGATGGAAGACACAAAAGCATAATGGGAAGGAGATAGACGATGATAACTTAGACAATTATAAATAGGATGCGGGTTCCGAGTGGAACGTATACCTTTTCCGGTTGCAATTGGAAGATCAGGTTGAGCAGGTGCCTCATGTTGGTCCGGAGTAGGTAAAGGAGCTGGAGCTGGAGGTGAATCAGCAGGGTCACTATTAGGGACATCCTCATTAGGTGCAGACCGCGGTCGACGCTGATAAGTAATGAGTGGTTTGGCAGAGGACAATGGAGGACTGAGAGGTGACAATGGAGTAAGATGAGGAATGGGTAAGACCTGAGAGACAGATTCAACTTCCACTTGTGGAGTGAAATACGGTTGATCCTCAAAGAAACTGACATCTGCAGAAGTATAGAAACGATGAGTAGAAGGTGAATAACAACGGTACCCTTTTTGGACTCTAGAGTAGCCAAGGAATATGCACTTGATTGCTCGTGGAGATAATTTGTCAAGACTAGGGGAAAGATCCTGTACGAAACAAGTACAACCAAAGACTTTGGGAGGAACAAGGAAAATGGGGTCCTTTGGGAACAAGATAGAGTGTGGTACTTTGTTATCCAATGTAGAAGATGGCATTCGATTGATTAAATGAATAGCTGTGAGAACAGCATCTCCCCAGAATTTTAGTGGGGCATTGGCATGAACCAGTAGTGTGCGTGCTGTTTCAATGATATGACGATGTTTTCTTTCGGCAATCCCATTTTGTTGAGGCGTGTGGGGACATGTGGATTGATGAATTATCCCTTGAGTAGCCATATATTCATTGAAATTTGTTGAGAAATATTCCTTGGCATTATCACTACGTAGAACACGAATGGTATGATCAAACTGATTTTTTATTTCATTGCAGAAACTTTTGAAAATGCCAAATAACTCTGAACGTTCTTTCATTAAATAAAGCCACGTACATCTTGAAAAATCATCAACAAAGATAACAAAGTACCGAAATCCTAAAACAGAACTGACACGACTTGGACCCCAAACATCTGAGTGAACAAGATAGAAGGGAGATTCTGCATGACTATGACTTTTTGGGAAAGTGGTTCTAACATGTTTACCAATTTGACATGACTCACAGGCTAAGGACTGTAAATTGGAAACTTGAGGTACCATTTTCCTCAGTTTATTGAGACTAGGATGACCTAAACGTTGGTGAAGCAAAGAAGGAGACTCCATAGCAGTGCAAGCAACTGAAGAGGAAGTCTGAAAGTAGTATAGACCCTGAGATTCAAATCCTGCTCCAATCATCTGCCCCGTACTCCGGTCCTGTATAGAAAAAGAGTCATCAATAAAGGTGACAGCACAATTATGACGACGTGTAAGTTAACTGACAGAAACCAAGTTGAAAGGACAACCAGGGATAAGAAGAACAGAATTAAGAGACAAAGAAGGATGAAGTGTGGCCTGTCCAACGCCAATGGCTTTAACTTTTGAACCATCAGCAAGGGTGACATGGTGCGCTGATTTAGGTTGAGATAACTTTGAGAAAAGAGAAGGATTACCGGCAATGTGATCAGAGGCACCAGAATCTATGATCCAAGATTTGGCGGGTCCTGATTGAGAAAGACAAGCTGTAGAGTTACCGGTAAAGTTGATTGCTGCTGAGGAATGCTGAGCTGCCTTAAGTTGTAGATACTCTTTATATTCATCATCTGATAGAACATTCTGGGCACTTTTAGTTGCTGCCCCAGGTTTCACTGGTTCGGAGTGCATTACATTAACAAACTTGTCAGGCCAACCAATAATTTCATAACATTTATCTTTGGTATGACCCATGCGCTGACAATGACTACACTTAGGTCGACCACCAGTGCCACGTCCTCCTCTATCACGACCACGACCACGACCGCCATAGCTAGAACGAGAGACAAGAGCAGAGAACTCTGAATCAACGTGAGGACCAACACTTTCAATTCCACTTGGTGCAGGAACTCTCAACAGTCGACCGATAAGGTCTTCAGCAGTGGGAATGTTTGGATTCGTTAGGATCTGGTTCCGCACGGAATCAAAATCCCTATGAAGTCTATGGAGAACAAACACCATACACATTTTATCAATTTTATCAAACACTTTAGGGAGATCAGTTTCGCTCAACATCACCTTAACCTCTTCAACAATGAATTGTGCCTTATTCACATATGATGGAAGGTCATGGTCGGACATTTGGAGTGTTGCAAGGCTATGAACAACGTCATAAATCCGTTGGACATCATTCGCAAACACACTTCGAGCTTTCTTCCATATGTCATAACACGTCTTGTATGTGCGGAAGTGGATCAACAGTTTGGGATCAATGGACTGCCACAAAATAGCAACCAATTGATGGTCGGCTTGAGTCCATTTTTCCCTTTCAGATGCAGTTATCTCATCGGCTCTTTTGGTCAAATGTTCGGACAAACCTTGGCCTAAGAACCACATTTCAACAGAAACTTGCCAATCCATGTAGTTTCTGCCGTTAAGTTTTTCAGAAGTTATTTGGGGATTCCCAGAAAAGACAAAGGACACAAGACTCCTGGAAGAGTCAGGAGTCGTGCTGCTTGTAGGAGACATGACGTATACTGACTTGGGAACAATCTGGAATGACTAGGACTTCTATTCCTAGTGCCGGCAGACCAGTCTCGATGAAGGTTGGCTGCAGGGACAACTAGGGAAAGTGAGGATCAGGCTTTGATACCAACTTGAATTTACTGATTTGAATGAAATTGCTTAAGAGAAACTACTCTCAGCAAGTCTTTATTTATAAGGCAAATAATTACAAGGAAAGAATCATATGCACATCAATCAGTAATTAATTCCTGATTTGATACAATCTGTACAGTAAATACTAAAATCAGGAAGGAAATCATATCAAATCTCAACAGTTAACTAATCAACTGTTTTATTCCTTCCCTCTCCTGCAGTATACTGTTAAAATATTTAATAGTATGTTTATTCTTATACAATTCATCCGCATGCCTATCAATACCCCCCCTGAAAATCCACCTTATCCCAAGATGGAAACATGGAAACTGCTCCTGAATCATGTGTAATGCTTCCCACAAATCTTCAAATTCTAATAAGTCTTTCCAATGTATCAACACTTCTGTTTTTCCTCAGCATTTATCCTTGAACCTACCACCTTTTCTGGCTTCACCGGGAGCTCCCATTTTTCATTTAGGCACTTGGGAAGAGTCTCACATGGAGTATTAGGGGATAAACCTTTCCTTAGTAAAGAAATGTGAAATGCAGGATCACCCTCAGCTAGTTTTAGCCTAAATGCCATTAAATTGAGCTTCTCTATGATCTCAAAAGGACCATAATATCTTGGACGCAACTTCAGATTAATCCTTTTTGCCAGACTTTGCAACTTATAGGGTTGTATCTTCAAAAACACCTTTTCTCTTACTTATAAAACAGTTCAGTCTAGGTACCTGTTTTTTCAAATTTTAAGACTCATGCGGTTCCTAAGTTTTTAAAGACCCGCCCCGCCCCGAACCGTTTGGGTTTTCTAAAATCAGGACCCGACTCTAACCCAGCCCTAACATGTATTACCCGGCCCAACCTACGGTTCTATACCTGTTTTCCCACCCCTGATTTATATCACTCGATAGGTGATCCAGAGAAAACTAAAGAAAGTTCTTTAAATAGGACTGAAACACAGATAAAGTCAAATAAGACTATTATTATTTTCTTCTTAAAACATGAGACTTATTCACCAGAAATATTTATATTTTAATAAGATCAAATAAATCATATATTAAGAATAAAATACAAACAATCCTATTTGTACATTTTGTCAAAATTTCAATCTTATTTAGAGCAATTTCTAAAAAAATAATTTCAAATCATATCATTTTTGTATCAGTTTAATGTACAAATAATGTATATACGATATCTAACTATTTAATGTCTCAATACCTGCCAAGACTTTAGTATAGGAATGTGGATAGAGTTTCACGTTTTTGGTAAAATCATTTACCTATGAGAATTAAAAAATGTCGTTTTTGTTATAAAATCCTGAGAATGACAAGTGTGAATTGTTCATCCTTGTCATCAGGACACTAATCCATTTTCCATCCTTGTAATCATAGATAGACAGATGACTAGGTTTAATAGTGCCAGCAAAATATGTAGAAGTAGTCTTTGATGATTCATCATCAAACCCAGCTAGTATAAATATTGCTTGATCAAACCTTTGTAATGTAATTCAAAAACTCAGAAATCTTTATATTAAGAAGAGGAAAATATCCATAGTTTTCATCTTTATATCTATCTCATAAAGTTAGTATTGATCTTCTTCATTTCACAACACGTTATCAGCACGAATTTGCTAAAAAACTTCAAGAAATCATCATCTCCTGCAGGTATTAACAATAATATCTATTATCTTCTTTTAGTACTCAAACCAGAAAATTATTCTGAATTTTAAATAATATCTTCTATCATATACATATATACTTCGTATTAAATAATATATATAGATAACATACCTTTGCATGAATGATTTCTTCGATCAATTCTGATAAAATAAAAGCACCATACATAATTATCACTTAATTATTCTTTAAAAATATTCTGGACAACTAATAAAAGAGGAGAAAATGATATGAGCGGAGTGTTTTTGAAACACAATAATGGTTCCTATAAATTTTTAGCAAGTATGCATGAAATGGAAGTATGTATTACGGCCTAGAGGAGAATGAGTATATTATAATTGTAAGAACAGTATGGGTGTATGTAGACAAGAAACAAGATGAAAAAGAATGGGCTAGTGTAAGAACTAGGAAGAAACGAGATGATACAATTCAACATATGTAGCAACATACTCCGTATTAAATAAACTAGTCGTACTTGTTATTTGTGAACGGTGAGTCACGTGTGTTAAAAGAAACACAGTTGAGCATTTTCTGATCATTTTACTGTTTTTAATTAGTCCGTGAACAATAAAATACTAATCAGTCTGCTTGTGAAAATACCAAAACGCATAGTCACAGATCACATGCATTTGTCTTCTTATTATCACGGGATGCATCTGTATTAAAACTCTCTGATTCATATGTCTTCTTATTATAATGAACAAATACATGTACGTCTGCATCGTCTTAATATATACAAAATACATGATTTAAAAGTGCATGTGTTCTTCAAGGATAATTACGTATTTCAAAATTTTAAGTATTTGATACACATCCAATTCTTTTTACAAATTAATAATAAATAAATAAAGTTGATAAACTTTATAATTAGTATAATCTTTATATAAAATTTATTTCAACATACTTTACATTATTTATTTAATATAGTGGTAAGTATTTGCTGATGTAAATATACACTTGACTCATTAGACCGATATTAAAAATTCCTTGTAGTTATATTATGGCCAACATTAGCAAACGAGAATTCGACGTACTTGATCTGTCCAGTCAAAAATTTCTTGAATGGAAAGTGGATGCCTTGACACATTTAAAAGCAAATGGATTGGAAGACACCATTGAAGCCAATAATATGTCATCTTCGCAAGACAAAGCGAAAGCTATAATTTTCCTCTGTCACCACCTCCATGAAAGTCTCAAATCTGAATATCTTTTGGTTGATGATCCAAAAGAATTATGGGACAATTTACAAGAGAGGTATGACCACCAACAAAAGGTACTTTTACCAAAAGCTCAGTATGACTCGATCAATTTAAGATTCCAGGACTTTTAATCTATCAGTGACTATAATTCTGCTATGTTCCAAATAACATCCAAATTAAAGTTATGTGGACAAAAAGTCACTGACGCTGATATGTTGGAGAAAACTTTTTCTGCTATGCATATCTCTAATATGCTGCTACAACAGCAATATAGAGAAAAGGGTTTTAAAAAATACTCTGACTTAATATCAGTATTATTGGTAGCTGAGCAAAACAATGACCTTTTGATGAAAACCCACAATTTGAGACCCACCGGTTCTAGTCCTTCGATTTATGGTCCATCTGGCCATAATTTAGCCACTGAATCAAATGCAACACACAGTGGCAGTAGAAGGCATTTTAAACGTGGACATTTTAGTGGTCATAATAACAAGTCTTACAGAGGATATAAACGGGTCGAAAGACCGAATTACAAGGGCAAGGGCAGACAAAAAGCTCATCAAATAAATCGCCCTACAAAAACCTCGGTAAAGACGACTTGTTATAAATGTGGCATGACGGGGCAGTGGGCTAATAAATGTCGCACGGCTAAACATCTGGTGGAGTTATTTCAAGCTTCCATGAATCTGAACAAAGACAAAAATGTGGAAGCTAATTATGTTAATGACACAACTCCACCTCTGACAAAATTTGATGTGTCCGACTTCTTCGTGACTGATGCCATTATGGACGATGCTTTTGCAATAAATCAAAATGTCACAAAATAAAATATTAGACTCTAATCCTTATGTTGTAACATATTAGTTTTATGTACTTTTTCTTTCTTCCCCTTTTTCTTTTGTTTTTAAATAAATGTGTGTAATATATGTACTTTGTGTTAAATTATATGTACAATTTGTGATCAAGCTTATGTTTATTTACACATATTGAAGATATGGATCACTCAAATGATAAAGAGCTGTGTCTGATAGACAGCGCCACAACGCACACCATTTTGAGAAATAAAATATATTTTTCTCAAATGACTTTAGTTGAAGCTAAAGTCAATACAATATCAGGTGTTTCAAAGCTCATTGAAGGCTCTGGGAAAGCATATGTGATGCTCCCTAACGGGACACAAATAATTATAAATGACGCTCTATACTTCAGCAAATCGCGGAGGAATTTATTGAGTTTTAAAGATATGCGTCAAAATGGTTATCACATAGAAATCATGAATGAAAACCAAAAGGAATATATTTGTCTTACAACAACTAAATCTGGCACTAAATATATTTGTGAAAAAATGCCAGCATATTCCTCAGGACTATATTTCACATATATTAGTCCATTTGAAATAAATTTGGTTTCTAACACAAAGTTAGATGATCAGAAAACATTCATGTTGTGGCATGACCGTTTATGTCACCCAGGCCAAGTAATGATGCATAAAATCATTAAGACCTCACTTGGACACCCATTAAAGAATATCAGGGTTCCATTATCAAGTGATTTTCCTTGTAAGGTCTGTTCTCTTGGCAAAATGATCATCAGGCCTTCTATGAACAAAATTGCAACTGAATCACCTGCATTTTTAGAAAGGATTCAAGGAGATATTTGTGGGCCGATAGCCCCACCATGTGGACCATTTCGATATTTTATGGTGTTGATTGATGCTTCAACACGTTGGTCACATGTTAGTCTTTTATCGACTAGAAATTTAGCATTTGCTAAACTCCTTGCTCAAATCATACGATTAAGAGCTCATTTTCCGGATCATTCTATAAAGAGAATCCGAATTGACAATGCAGGAGAATTTACATCCCAATCATTTAACGACTATTGTATGTCGATTGGGATTGATGTGGAGCACCCTGTTGCTCATGTTCATACACAAAATGGTCTTGCTGAATCTCTGATTAAACGATTACAATTAATCGCTAGACCATTATTAATGAAGTGTAATTTACCTTCATCAGCTTGGGGGCATGCTATTTTACATGCAGTAAATTTAATTCGGCTTAGACCAACTGCATATCATGAATATTCCCCAATGCAATTAGTTACTGGACAAGAGCCAAACTTAGCACACATAAAAATATTTGGTTGTGCTATTTATGTTCCGATTGCTCCACGTCATCGTACAAAAATGGGTCCTCAAAGAAGGTTGGGAATTTATGTTGGATTTGAATCTCCCTCAATAATAAAATATATCGAACCGATGACTGGTGACTTATTCACAGCACGGTTTGCAGACTGTCATTTCAATGAGACAGTGTTCCCAACCTTAGGGGGAGAAAATAATAAATTCGACCCAAGTACGAAAAAGATTACATGGAATGCAACGGGATTATCACATTTTGATTCAAGATCAAATATATGTGAACAAGAGGTGCAAAAGATAATCCATTTACAAAATGTTGCAAATCAGTTGCCTGATGCATTCACCGACACAAAGAAAGTGACAAAGTCACATATTCCTGCCATGAATGCCCCTGCCAGAATCGAAATCCCAGCAGAGAATTCTGAAAAATCTCTTGCAAATGATTCTTCTATACGCAAAAGGCGTGGCAGGCCACTTGGATCAAAAGATATAAAACCAAGAAAAATTAAAAGGCAGGAATCGATCTGTGATGCCAAAGATGTTCATCCTTCTGAACAAGAAAATGATCAATTTGAAAATATTGGCATAGAAAATAATATTGACAAAACAAATATCTCAAATGACGATCCAACTTCCTTAAATGAGGAAAATATTCTAGATAATGATAGAAACGTTGATAATTATGAAATTTCAATAAACTACGTTTCTACTGGAATGCAATGGAATCGTAAAGATATTGATATTAATGAAATATTTGTCTATGCCGTTGCCACAAATGTTATGAATGAAAACAATGACAATGAGCCAACATCAATTGAAGAATGTCGGAAACGACACGACTGGCCAAAATGGAATGAAGCTATTCAGGCTGAATTAAAATCACTTGAAAAACGTGATGTTTTTGGACCGATAGTCCCTACGCCAAAAGGCGTAAAACCAGTGGGCTTTAAATGGGTATGTGTGCGTAAACGCAATGAGAGAAATGAAATCGTAAGATATAAAGCCCGACTTGTTGCCCAAGGTTTTTCTCAAATGCCGGGAATTGATTATGAAGAAACCTATTCTCCAGTAGTTGATGCAACTACATTAAGGTTTCTTATTGGCATGTCTGTTTTTGAAAGGCTGCAAATGCGCCTAATGGATGTAGTGACTGTATATTTATACGGTTCACTCGATACAGACATTTATATGAAAGTTCCCGGAGGATTTAAAATGCCTGAAACTTATAGCTCAAAACCTCGAGAAATGTTTTCCATTAAATTACAAAAGTCATTATATGGACTAAAACAATCTGGGCGAATGTGGTATAATCGTCTCAGTGAATATCTTCTTAAAGAAGGATATAAGAATGATCCAATTAGTCCATGTGTTTTCATTCGGCGATCAAATTCGGGATTCGCCATAATTGCAGTATATGTTGATGACTTAAACATTATTGGAACTCCCGATGAAATTGAAAATACTGCAAATTATCTTATGAAAGAATTTGAAATGAAAGATCTCGGGAGAACCAATTTTTGTCTCGGACTCCAAATTGAGCATTTGAAGAATGGAATTTTCATCCACCAATCCAATTACACCGAGAAAGTGTTGAAGCGGTTCTACATGGACAAAGCTCATCCATTGACTTCACCAATGGTGATTCGATCTCTCAACATACATGATGATCCATTCCGTCCCCGAGAAGACAACGAAGAAATACTCGGTCCTGATGTACCATATCTGAGTGTTATCGGAGCTTTAATGTATTTAGCTAATAATACTAGACCAGATATTGCATTTTCTGTAAATTTATTAGCTAGGTATAGCTCATGCCCAACAAGATGTCATTGGAACGGGATCAAGCACATATTCCGTTATCTACGTGGTACAGTTGATCTCGGCTTATTCTACCACAAAGATGCCAAAGATGCTTTAATCGGATATGTAGACGCTGGATACTTATCAGATCCTCAAAAGGCGAAATCACAAACCGGGTACGTATTTACTTATGGTAACATCGCAATCTCATGGAGATCTATGAAGCAGACATTGACAGCTACATCATCAAATCATTCGGAGTTAATTGCACTATATGAAACCGGAAGAGAATGTGTGTGGTTGCGGTCTATGATTCAACACATCCAAAATGAATGCGGTATGAAGCCTATTACTTGTCATCCGACTGTTATCTACGAAGACAACACTGCGTGCATAGCTCAAATTAAAGAAGGCTACATCAAAGGTGACAGAACAAAGCACATATCACCAAAATTCTTCTCTACTCATGATCTGGAGAAAGAAGGGACGATCAACATTCAACAAATTAGATCCAGTGAAAATTCGGCTGATCTCTTCACCAAATCTCTACCCCCGAAGAAGTTCATAGAACTTGTACAGAAAATCGGCATGCACCGCCTTCAAAATTTAACCTAAGTTCAGGGGGAGTATTTGAATGCACTGCACTCTTTTTTCCTTCATCAGGTTTTTATCCCACTGGATTTTTCCTGATAAGGTTTTTAACGAGGCAGTACATCCAAATACAACGACATTATAAGTCGTAATCTTTACCCCTTAAATTTAACAATAAATTTTAAAATAATAAATATCTATTCAAGGATGAACATTCAAGGGAGAGTACTATAAAATCCTGAGAATGACAAGTGTGAATTGTTCATCCTTGTCATCAGGACACTAATCCATTTCCCATCCTTGTAATCATAGATAGACAGATGGCTAGGTTTAATAGTGCCAGCAAAATATGTAGGAGTAGTCTTTGATGATTCATCATCAAACCCAGCTAGTATAAATATTGCTTGATCAAACCTTTGTAATGTAATTCAAAAACTCAGAAATCTTTATATTAAGAAGAAGAAAATATCCATAATTTTCATCTTTATATCTATCTCATAAAGTTAGTATTGATCTTCTTCATTTCACAACAGTTTTAATCAATTTACAATTTACTTATGAAAATCAATCATATGGTATATATGTAAAGCAAAAGATAAAGTAAATGTGAAAATTTTACATATAATTGTAATCGTAAATTGTAAATAATGATATTTTTATTTACTAATGAGAATAAAAAATGTTGTTTTAATCAATTTATAATTTACACATGAAAATCAATGAGATGGTATATAGTAAAGCAAAAGATAAAGTAAATGTGATTTTTTTACATGTAACTAGTAAACTCACCCGTGCGATGCACGGTCGGAGAATTTTTCTTTCAAATTTATTTGTGCTCACTAATTCAAATTAAACTATCAATTGATGACAACATCTGTCTCCATGGAATATTGATATAGATCAAAGCAACGAACGAAACACACTTATAATATTATGGTCAAAATGAGAGTACTAAGCATTACTTAAAAGATCAAAAACATCCAACAAATACGTTGAAACCATCACATTGTAAATATGCATTTAATGTAAACCTAAACATTGTTGACCACTTCTTTGAATACAACATTCTGAGTCTTGTCAGTGGTTCTTTCATCTTTATCAACAATTAGAATTTTTAAATTTACACGAATTGCATTTTTTAAACGAATTGTCTATCTAAATAGGTAAAATAAGGGAGTGAAATATGTGAAAGTGTGTTATGTCATTCTTGAATTATTATACTTGAATCTAAATTTATGGGAAAATGTTCAAATAGGTGCTTATACTATTTCTAATATCCAAGTATGGTCTGGTTTGTTTAAGTTTGGTTTGATTTGAGACTGAAATAAGTCTAAGTATAAACATCTCAAGTAATATGGTGGCTATGCATTTATACGAATTGCA